GTGGGTCACAGTAAGCCCCAGGTGCCCGGGGTCAGCTTGGACTCCTCGCACCCAGGCCCCCCTGCTGCTCTCTCTCAGTGCTGTTCTGTTACCCAGACGCACTTCCACTCTTCTTTCTTTTATAAACGTTGGCTTTTTTTCTGAACAAGCCTTCACTGTACAGTGAGGCAGCTGCCTCCTGACCGGTTTCCCACCTTTACTTCCCCCTTCCCAACTTTCCTGTACACTCATCAGCACAATTTTTTAATGCATGCACACGTGCATGTATGCATGCACGTGTACACCCACCCCCATGCGCGCTCAACAACCTTCAATGGCTCCCCAGTGTCTAGGCAGAGATTACAAGCTGGGGGCCTGCAGTTACTGCTACACTGCTGTAAAGCATATTTAAGCCAACCTTTCAAAATAAGGAGGCTGCATAGAAGAATCCAGATTTCCAGGTTCTCTTGAAAAACAGGAAGATCTGGCCCAAGTGGGCAGTGACTGTGTGGCTTTGTTGCCTGGCACTGAGTGGAGGCCACCTCCTCCAACGGCAACAGTCCCCAGTCTGCCCCAGCGTCCCCTCATCATGGGGGCTGATCAAAGGCCAGCAGCATCAAGCCAGCACCACGTCTTTCTTGTAGAAGAAAAATGTGTAGAAATAAAAAATCAACTCAAAGTGATTTTTCTTCACAAAAGGCCTTTGGACCTCACTCTCTGCTCACCGTCCCCTTTGCTGCCCTCTGAGCCCTGTGCCTGCCTCAGCGTCTTCTGGGACTGAGTGTCTTCCAGGGCAGGGATCATGCCAGCTGGACCTTGGTGTTCCCGTCCCTGGCAAGGGCCTGGCACAGACTGCATATCCCAAAGCATCTGGAGTCTTGACTAGCGAGCCGGCCTGGCTGAGTGGGAGGTGGGAGCTGGAAGGGGCTGCCCAGAGACCCGGCTGGAAGTGAGCCTTGGCCAAGAGCTAATGATGCCCTCCAAGTGGCTTCCTGAGCACAAAGGTGCCAGCGTGGCTCATGGACATCATCTGTGCCTTCTCCCCTTTAGGCCCAGCCCTTCCTTTCTTGGAGCAGCTGGTACTGGCCCAGGAGGATGGGTGGCAGGAGCTGCTGAAGGCCCGGCTCCCCCTACAAACAAAATGTCCACCCCTTCCACCACTCAGATCCTTTTCCATCACCAATTTTACCTTACCAGCCTAGTCTTCAGCTGTGTGATGCACTAGCCCTGAAAATGCCCTCCCTCCTTCTACTCTTGCTCCCACTCAGAACAACCGATTTTCCAAGAACAGACAGAATAAGTTTTCAAAAGCACAACTCGCTACCCTGCTTAGAGCCTCTGAAGGCTTTCTACTGAACTTGGATGAAATTCAAATCTCTCCATGACCTGTGAAGGCTTTTTCCATCTGGCCTCAGCCTATTCTGTCTCATTCTCTAGCTACAATTGTTACAAAGTCAGTTCTTGCCCATCTTTTCTGCCCCAGGACTTTTGCACCTGCTCTTCCTCTTGCCCTTTGCATCCCCGTCTTCTTATCCTTTGCTCTCATTCTCTAGCTACAATTGTTACAAAGTCAGTTCTTGCCCATCTTTTCTGCCCCAGGACCTTTGCACCTGCTCTTCCTCTTGCCCTTTGCATCCCCGTCTTCTTATCCTTTGGATCTCAGCTTAGTGGCCTCTTGTTTAAAGGGTCTGTCCCTGATCATCCTGAACAGGCCCTCCTTAGTTCCAATCTACTAATTCCCTGCCAGTTTCCCTTCATCACTCCTTTCACCCTGCCACTATTTTTATCTATTTATCTGCTGGTGTAATAGTCTCTCTTTCGCTGGAGAATGAGCTCCAGGAGGGCAAAGCACAAATATCTAGGTGCTGGCTGGATGCATGAAGGAAGGAAAGAAGGAAGGAAGAAAGAAATAAATGAATGAATTACCTTCAGATCTTCGTAGGTGTCAGCCGAGAGCTTGGTACTGTTCATGTTTAAACTGCAGAGACTCTTCATGGCTGCATGAGGACAGACAGACACAGTCATTAGATCAGTGAGACCCCGCAAGAGGAAGCTGCAGATCTGGGATCGTCAAGCTGGGGGGACTGACTGTAGCTGCCAAGCCCCTCATTAGGAGATGGGCTGGGGGAGGTGGAATTTCACAGGCACAGCCAGGGTGGCCCACGAGATACGGAAAGTCTACTTCAGGCATGTGCTGGTCCGAATTGTGTCTTCATCCTCTTCTCATCCTCTAAGCCTCCCTCCCTTCTGGTCCCACTGTCATGTACCTTCACTGCCCGGACTAGTTGTCCCCAGAGCTTACCCATCACACCCGAGACCAGCCCAGATGGGCCAGCCTAGCCCTTCCCCCAGGTGTACCTGCAAGCTGCCCCAGGAGTTGCTGACTCAGGCTGGGCTTCACAGCAAGCCTCAGACCTTGGCTTGTGTCAGAATCACGCAGGGAGCATGTTAAAAATGCAGATGCTCTTGCCCACTCCTAGAGATGCTGAGTGAAGGGGCTGGAGCAGGGCCCGGGAGTCTGCACTGTTCATCAGGGTACCTTCCCCTGGGACTAGGTGGCTCCAATGGAAGTGTCCAGGGGGCACATGTGCAGGGAACTGGCTCCAAGACTCACCCCCCTGCCTTCCATTACCCCAGTCACCCACCCCCCATCTCCAGAATTTGCAGTGACCTTGCAGGAATCATGGCCACTGCCCAGAGTGCCCCCCATGGCCAAGACCCATGTATGTATCTTGATGTCTATACCAATGGGTCTGAATACGGGAAAGCTGGTCAAATGCAGTCCCAGGTGCAACAGCCCCGAGATTATCATTCAGTAGGTTAGGACTGTGGCACAGGAATCAGCATTTCTAGGGTCTTTGAATATTTTGTGGCTCCTGTTATGGCAATGCTTCCCCAGCTTTAAATGGCTTAGGAATCACCCAGGCATCTGGTTAAAATGCAGTTTCTGGGTTAGGAGGGCTGAGTGGGGCCCAAGAATCTGCATTTCTGACCAGCTCCCAAGTGCTGTTGCTGGTTGGGGGACCACAGCAGCAATGTCCTAGGGAACTTTCCTCCTTGGTCCCTCAGTGGACTGAGTGTTGGAGGCTGTGGGCTGGCCTTACTGTTTTCTTTTTCCTCTAGAACACAAGTTCCATGAGGGCAGGGATATACTACCCC